GACTCTTCAGTAGTTTACAGGCTCACCCAACAGCCAACAGGGGGTTAGGGATGTGGACGGGGGCATACGGACGCCAGCACCCAACAGGACAACAGACAGGAACAACGGGGAGTCTCCAAGCCATCAATTTTAAACAGGTCAACAGATCGCCACCGTCCCTCCCACTACCCCAACTATTACCACCCCAACCCCAACCCCCAACCATAAAGCACTGTTGGAGGCGAGGAACAGGAGGGAAAGGGAGGGGCAAGGGAGACCACACCGACTTGTCAAGACAGCGGGGAACCACCTTCCTCTACCATTAACTTCCTCTCCTTCTTTCTCCGGCTGACAGATTACTTCACTTCGTGTATGAAACCCACACTGTGTGATGGAATATGACAGGACAACCCACCCTGTGTGATGGAATATGACAGGAAAACCCACCCTGTGTGATGGAATGTGACAGGACAACCCACCCTGTGTGATGGAATATGACAGGACAACCCACTCTGTGTGATGGAATATGACAGGACAACCCACCCTGTGTGATGGAATGTGACAGGACAACCCACTCTGTGTGATGGAATATGACAGGACAACCCACCCTGTGTGATGGAATATGACAGGACAACCCACTCTGTGTGATGGAATATGACAGGACAACCCACCCTGTGTGATGGAATATGACAGGACAACCCACCCTGTGTGATGGAATATGACAGGACAACCCACCCTGTGTGATGGAATATGACAGGACAACCCACCCTGTGTGATGGAATATGACAGGACAAGTGTGATGGAATATGACTGGAAAACCCACCCTGTGTGATGGAACATGACAGGGCAACCCACCCTGTGTGATAATAATGAAAGGGACCTGGGAGTAGTAATGTCTGAGGATCTCACTTTCAAGGATCACAACAGTGCCACGATCGCACGTGCAAAGAAAATGATAGGATATATAATGATAACGTTCAAAACGAGAGATGCCAAGCCAATGACGATCTTTTTCAAATCACTTGCTCTCTCTAGGCTGGAATACTGCTGTACATTAACATCTCCATTCAAAGCAGGTGAAATAGCAGATCTAGAGAATGTACAGAGATCCTTTACTGCACGTGTGATGGATGGATAATGAGAACTTTCAAAACTAGAGGTGCCAAGCCAATGATGATCCTTTTCAAATCACTTGTTCTCTCTAGGCTGGAATACTGCTGTACATTAACATCTCCATTCAAAGCAGGTGAAATCGCAGATCTAGAGAGTGTACAGAGATCCTTTACTGCACGTATAAGTTCTGTCAAGCACCTTAACTACTGGGAACGCTTGGAAGCACTTGACTTGTACTCGTTGGAACGCAGGAGGGAGAGATATATCATAATCTACACTTGGAAAATCTTGAAAGGAATGGTCCCAAATCTGCACACAGAAATCACTCCCTACGAAAGTAAAAGACTGGGCAGGCGATGCAAAATGCCCCCAATAAAAAGTAGGGGCGCCATTGGTACACTAAGGGAAAGCACCATAAGTGTCCGGGGCCCAAGACTGTTCAACAGCCTCCCATCAAGCATTCGGGGAATTGCCAATAAACCCCTGGCTGCCTTCAAGAGAGAGCTGGACAGATACCTAAAGTCAGTGCCGGATCAGCCGGGCTGTGGCTCGTACGTTGGACTGCGTGCGGCCAGCAGTAACAGCCTAGTTGATCAGGCCCTGATCCATCGGGAGGCCTGGTCATGGACCGGGCCGCGGGGGCGTTGATCCCCGGAATAACCTCCAGGTAACCTCCAGGTAACCCTGTGTGATGGAATACTATGGGAAAACAGCTTTGATTTCCACTATTTAATCATCACAGAATGGTGTAGCAACTCACTGCTGGTGGACTAAATGTTTAAAGTAACACCTAGGAGGGAGGACAGGTATGAGACAGAGGTGGGAGAGAGAGAGTCCGAGTCCCCGGGTGCTGATGGGACGTGTCTATTTGCGACACAAGATGGTTTGTTGACATCTCAGACCTCAAGACGACGGACCCCTGGGTGTTGGATGTATTACCAGAGTTAGTGTGGGAGGGTGGCTTTGTTTGCGGACCGGCGTGGCACGGGGAGTCGGGGGAGACGTCAGGGTAGGCCACTAGCGCACAGGAAGTGGGGAAAGGTCACGTCTGGGCAGGTCAGTAGAGCACAGAAAGTGGGGAAGGGATGTCAAGATAGGCTAGTGTCACTGGGAAAGTGAGGGCATCAAAGGAAAGTGGCAGAGGACGAAGGTCTTATTGTATTTAGTCTCGTGATGTAGCTGCCATGTCGGTTCATGTCTGTGGATGGAAGAATGTTTTGGGACCAGGATGGCGGCATTTTGTTGAGCAAAAATGGATACAACGGCCATGTGCCGCTACGCTATCCTGTATGATGGTTTCACAATGGTAACAAATACTAGCTACGTTTTTCTGTTATATTTTATCACTCATTGTGTTGGAATTTGTCAGACTGAGTTGGGAGACTTCATTAGGCCAAGATGAATTACAAAAATTGTAAATACTTAGTGGCAGAAACAGTATATCAACTGAAATTCGACCAATTATAAAGACATTAGCAACCAGTGTTCAGAATTTGTTTTTGCGGCCAATACAAAAACTGAGTGTGCCAGCACTACTCCTGGAGAATTTGTAAATATGGACCAACTAAAAAAAAATGGTGTGTTAATATGATCACCCACGAAATGCCGTACTCTCTTGAATAAAGAGGAATGTCATTCCAAAACCTGGACATACTTCCACTCTAAAATGTGCAGTGACTCAATAAATGAGAGTGTTATGGCGGAAACTGCCAGGCAAGATGGACGTGTAACAGAATATAGAATTTACAACCATACAGGCAGCAGTAAAGGTAAGAATATGTCATCATCTAGGAACCATCATAGACTGGTAACGTAACCAGTGACAGGTTCACCAGAACCACAGTTATAGAATCCAAGAAAAAAACTCCCAGCTCATCGATAAAAGGTGTCATTATCACAACTGCGATTAAAAAAATATATAGGATGGACCTGGAGGTTACCTGGAGGTTATTCCGGGGATCAACGCCCCCGCGGCCCGGTCCATGACCAGGCCTCCCGATGGATCAGGGCCTGATCAACTAGGCTGTTACTGCTGGCCGCACGCAGTCCAACGTACGAGCCACAACCCGACTGATCCGGCACTGACTTTAGGTATCTGTCCAGCTCTCTCTTGAAGGCAGCCAGGGGTTTATTGGCAATTCCCCTAATGCTTGATGGGAGGCTGTTGAACAGTCTTGGGCCCCGGACACTTATGGTGTTTTCCCTTAGTGTACCAATGGCGCCCCTACTTTTAATTGGGGGCATTTTGCATCTCCTGCCCAGTCTTTTACTTTTGTAGGGAGTGATTTCTGTGTGCAGATTTGGGACCATTCCTTCCAAGATTTTCCAAGTGTAGATTATGATATATCTCTCCCTTCTGCGTTCCAACGAGTACAAGTCAAGTGCTTCCAAGCGTTCCCAGTAGTTAAGGTGCTTGACAGAACTTATACGTGCAGTAAAGGATCTCTGTACACTCTCTAGATCTCTGGACAATAAGAAGCTTAAAACAAGGGATGCCAAGTCATTGATGATCCCATTTAAGTCACTTTTTCTTTCTAGATCGGAATACTGCTGTACACTAACAGCCCCTTCCAAAGCAGGCGAAATTACAGATCTGGAGATGATACCTTCACTGCACGTATAACCTCAATAAGACACCTCAGTTACAGGAAACCTTTGAAGTCCCTTGACCTTTGCCCCTTGGAACATAGGCAAGAAAAGTGCTTCATAATTTACGCCTGGAAAATCCTAGAGGGACTGGTCCCAAATCTACGCACAGAAATACCTCCATTTGAAAGCAAACGACACGGCAGACGTTGCAATATCCTCCCAAAAGCAAAGGTGCCATGAGGTCAGGGGCCAAAGGCTGTGCAGCAGACTCCCATCATACATAAGGGGGATTACCAATAGACCCCTGACTGTCTTTAAGAGGGAACTGGACAGATACCTGAAGTCAGTTCCTGACATCATGGCTGTAGTTCGTACTTTGGATTTCGTGTGGCCAGCAGTACAGCCTGGTTTATCAGGCCCTGATCCACCGTGAAGCCCAGTCATGGACCGGGTCGCAGGGGGCGTTGACTCCCCGAGTCTCCCTCCAGGTAGACTCCAGGTACCTGGAGTCTGCCTGCCCTGACCAGGCCGCGGGGGGCGTTAACCCCTGGAAGCATTTTTCAGGTATCCAGGCATCTCTCTGGAATGTCATATCCAGCGTAAGAAACCTACGCAGTCCTGTTTAAGAGTAAGTTGTCCAGTCTTGTGTAAAAAAACACTCCAGTCTATTGTAAGAAAACACTCCAGTTTTACTACTACAACCACCCCACCAGTCACTACAACCACCACCAGTTTCACTACAACAACCACCCTACCAGTCACTGTCACTACAACCACCACCAGTTTCATTATACAACCACCTCACCAGTCACTGTCACTACAACCACCACCAGTTTCATTATACAACCACCCTACCAGTCACTGTCACTACAACCACCACCAGTTTCATTATACAACCACCCTACCAGTCACTGTCACTACAACCACCACCAGTTTCATTACAACAACCACCCTACCAGTCACTGTCACTACAACCACCACCAGTTTCATTACAACAACCACCCTACCAGTCACTGTCACTACAACTACCACCAGTTTCATTATACAACCACCCTACCAGTCACTGTCACTACAACCACCACCAGTTTCACTATACAACCACCCCACCAGTCACTACAACCACCAGCAACACTACCACAACCATCACCATCACCACCACCACCTTCACCAACACTAACACTGCCACGACCACCACCTTTACAACCACCACCATCACCACCACCACCACCACCGCCGCGGGGTGGTTGCTAGGAAGCACTCCTAGGAGCGGAAGGTTGCTGGGCACAGGCGCCAAGCTAAGACCAAATTACCCCACCATAATGGCTCCTGGAATTTTATTAACGCCCCGTGGCTCCCCCAGAATATTGAGGAGGGGAGAGTGTGTTGGGGAGAGTTCTGGGGAGAGTGCTGAGGAGAGTTCTGGGGAGAGTGCTGAGGAGAGTTCTGGGGAGAGTGCTGAGGAGAGTTCTAGGGAGAGTGCTGAGGAGAGTTCTGGGGAGAGGGCTGAGGAGAGTTCTGGGGAGAGTGCTGAGGAGAGTACTGGGGAGAGGGCTGAGGAGAGTTCTGGGGAGAGTCCTGAGGAGAGTGTTGGGAGAGGGCTGGGGAGAGTGTTTGGGAGAGTGCTGGGGAGAGTGTTGGGGAGAGTGTTGGGCAGAGTGTTGGGGAGAGTGTTGGGGGAGAGTGTTGGGGAGAGTGTTGGGGAGAGTGTTGGGGAGAGTGTTGGGGAGAGTGTTGGGGAGAGTGTTGGGGAGAGTGTTGGGGAGAGTGTTGGGGAGAGTGTTGGAGAGTGTGTTGGGGAGAGTGTTGGGGAGAGTGTTGGGGAGAGTGTTGGGAGAGTGTTAGGGAGAGTGTTGGGAGAGTGTTGGGGAGAGTGTTGGGAGAGTGTTGGGGAGAGTGTTGGGGAGAGTGTTGGGGAGAGTGTTGGAGAGTGTGTTGGGAGAGTGTTGGGGAGAGTGTTGGGAGAGTGTTGGGAGAGTGTTAGGGAGAGCGTTGGGGAGAGCGTTGGGGAGAGTGTTGGGGAGAGTGTTGGGGAGAGTGTTGGGGAGAGTGTTGGGAAGAGTGTTGGGGAGAGTGTTGGGAGATTGTTGGGGAGAGTGTTGGGGAGAGTGTTGGGGGAGAGTGTTGGAGAGTGTGTTGGGGAGAGGTTGGGGAGAGTGCTGGGGAGAGTGTTGGGGAGAGTGTTAGGGAGAGCGTTGGGGAGAGTGTTGGGGGGAGTGTTGGGGAGAGTGTTAGGGAGAGTGTTGGGGAGAGTGTTGGGAGAGTGTTGGGGAAGTGTTAGGGAGAGTGTTGGGGAGAGTGTTAGGGAGAGCGTTGGGGAGAGTGTTGGGGAGAGTGTTGGGGAGAGTGTTGGGGAGAGTGTTGGGGAGAGTGTTGGGAGAGTGTTGGGGAGAGTGTTGGGGAGAGTGTTGGGGAGAGTGTTGGGAGAGTGTTGGGGAGAAGTGTTGGGAGAGTGTTGGGGAGAGTGTTGGGGAGAGTGTTGGGGAGAGTGTTGGGGGAGAGTGTTGGGAGAGTGTTGGGAGAGTGTTGGGGAGAGTGTTTGGGGAGAGTGTTGGGGAGAGTGTTAGGGGAGAGTGTTTGGGGAGAGTGTTGGGGAGAGTGGTTGGAGAGTGTTGGGGAGAGTGTTGGGGAGAGTGTTGGGGAGAGTGTTGGGGAGAGTGTTGGGGAGAGTGTTTGGGAGAGTGTTGGGGAGAGTGTTGGGAGATGTTGGGTGAGTGTTGGGAGAGTGTTGGGGAGAGTGTTGGGGAGAGTGTTGGGAGTGTTGGGGAGAGTGTTGGGGAGAGTGTTGGGGAGAGTGTTGGGGAGAGTGTTGGGGAGAGTGTTGGGAGAGTGTTGGGAGAGTGTTGGGGAGAGTGTTGGGAGAGTGTTGGGGAGAGTGGTTAGGGAGGGTGTTGGGGAGAGTGTTGGGGAGAGTGTTGGGAGGTGGGAGAGTGTTGGGAGAGTGTTGGGGAGAGTGTTGGGAGAGGAGGAGTGTTGGGAGGGTGTTGGGAGAGTGTTGGGGAGAGTGTGTTGGGGAGAGTGTTGGTTGGGAGAGTGTTGGGGAGAGAGTGTTTGGGAGGTGTTGGGGAGAGTGTTGGGGTGAGAGGTTGGGGAGGTGAGGTGTTGGGGAGAGGTGGGATTGGGGAGATGTTGGGAGAGTGTTGGGGAGAGTGTTGGGGAGAGTGTTAGGGGGAGAGTGTTGGGTTGGGAGAGTGTTGGGGAGAGTTGGGGAGAGTGTTGGGGAGAGTGTTGGGAGAGGTGTTGGGGAGAGTGTTGGGGAGATGTTGGGGAGAGTGTTGGGGGAGTGTTGGGAGAGTGTTGGGGAGAGTGTTGGGGAGAGTGGGGAGTGTTGGGGAGGGTAGTGTTGGGGGAGTGTAGTGTTGGGGAGAGTGTTTGGGGAGAGTGTTGGGGAGAGTGTTGGGGAGAGTGTTGAGGGAGGAGTGTTGGGAGAGTGTTGGGGATGAGTGTTGGGAGAGTGTTGGGAGGTGTTGGGAGAGTGTTGGGGAGAGTGTTGGGAGATGTTAGGGAGATGTTGGGGAGATGTTGGGGGAGGTATGTGGGAGAGTGTTGGGGTTTGGGGAGAGTGTTGGGGAGAGTTGTAGTGGGAGATGTTTGGGGAGAGTTTTTGGAGAGTTGGGAGAGTGTTGGGGAGAGTGTTGGGGAGATGTTGGGGATGTGGGGAGAGTGTTGGGGAGAGTGTTGGGGAGAGTGTTGGGGAGAGTGTTGGGGAGAGTGTTGGGAGAGTGTTGGGGAGAGTTTGGGGAGAGTGTTGGGAGAGTGTTGGGGAGATGTGTTGGGAGAGTGTTGGGAGAGTGTGGGGAGAGTGTTGGGGAAGTGTTGGGGAAGTGTTGGGGAGAGTGTTGGGGATAGTGTTGGGAGTTAGGATTTGGGAGAGTGTTGGGTAGAGTGTTGGGGGAGTGTTGGGAGAGTGTTGGGGAAGTGAGAGTGTTAGGAGAGTGTTAGGGAGCTGTTGGGAGAGTGTTTGGGGAGTGTTTGGGATGAAGTGTTGGGAGCGGTTGGGGAAGTGTTGGGGAGAGGGGAAGTGTTGGTTAGGAGAGGTTGGGGAAGTGTTGGGATGGAAGTGTTGGGAAGAGGGATGTTGGGAGAAGTGTTGGGGAGAGGTGTAGATGAAAATCATTACATTATTCTGTTGCGTTGTTGTTGAAATTCAATCATCCTTACTCATCTCTCTCCTCTACCTCTCTCCACTCTCAACTCCCTCTCCTCTCTCTCATCTCATCTCTCACCTCTCACTCCTCTCTCTACCACTCCCTCTCTCTCTCTCTCTCTCGTCATTAATGTTTATTAAAATCTTGGTTGTCATGGTAACTTGAAAATTTTCCTCATTATTTTTTCTGGCTTTTCTCCACACCTGAAAATAATAGGTTGATTTTTCTTCTCTTCCTTCTGTCTATCTTGGTAGATTTTTTGTTCGTGGTAAAGAGAGAGAGAGAGAGAGAGAGAGAGAGAGAGAGGAGAGAGAGAAGAAGAGAGGAGAGAGAGAGAGAGAGAGAGAGAGAGAGAGAGAGAGTTAATGATAAAGCCATAGTGAGGGGAGAGTGAAGATAGAGTGAGGGGAAAGTGAGGTGCCTGGGTGCTGGTATATATATTGGAGGTGTCTTACTGGTTGCCTAGGAGACACCATCCCTCTGGCTGACACACACACACACACACACACACACACACACACACACACACACACACACACACACACACACACACACACACATACACACACATAAACACACACATACACACACACACACACATATATGCACAAGCACCTGGAATAGACCTCCTACCTGGAGAGAGATCCGGTGGTCAACGCCCCCACGGCCCGGTTCATGACAAGCTCTCACAGTGCATCAGGGCCTGATCACCCAGGCTGTTACTGCTGGCCATGCTCAATCTAACGTACGAACCACAGCCCACCTGGTCATGCACTGACTTTAGGTATCTATCCACTTCTTGAAGACAACCAGGGGTCAATTGGTAATCCCCCTTATGTATGATGAGAGGCTGTTGGAGAGCCTTTGGCCTCTGACACTTACTGTGTTTTCTCTCAGCCTACTCACGGTACTCTTGCTTTCCCCTGGGGGATGTTGCTCCATATGTATACTCCGACTTTGCTCACTGTAAATAACGCATTACCACCTTTATTTGAGCGTGTGTGACCTAATTCATGTCTGCATGGATAACTCATTACGATTGTGACCAGATATAAAGATGTAACTAGTTCATTATCACTGTAACTTGTTCAGATTTCAAAACTTTGCGGCGCAGTCCCTGAACCCATTATGTACCTCTGTAACCTTTGCACTTCCACCCATAGGATGGGTATGGGGTGCATATTAAACATATTTAACTAAACTAACCTTTCTCACCTGCGATCCAGGGAGTAGATGTCAAGAGACTTCAGACGTTCTCACCTGCGCTCCAGGAGGTAGAAATCAAGGGACTTCAAACGTTCTCAACTGCATTCCAGGAGGTAGAAATCAAGGGACTTGAAACGTTCTCAACTGCGCTCCAGGAGGTAGAAATCAAGGGAACTCAAACGTTCCCAGCAACTGAGGTTGTTTACTGAACTTATATATGCAATGAAGGTTCTCTGTACATTCTCAGCTCTGCAATTTCGTCTGCCTTGAAAGAAACTGTCAGTGCATAGCAGCATTCCAGCCTGGATAGAACTAGTGACTTAAAAAGGAACATCAGTGGCTTGGCATCCATTGTTTTAAAGGTTCTCATTATCCATTCTATCATTTTCCTCGCAGTCGTGAACATGACACTTTAGTGGTTCTTGAAGGTGAGATCCTCTGATATTATTTATCACTACTAAGTCCTTCACATTAGTTTTTCCCACTATTGTGTAGTTATAATTTGACTTACACTCTGTTCTAGCTTTGAATTCCTCAAGTTTTCTGTAATGGAGTAGCTGGAATTTGTCCTCACTAAACATCAAATTGTTTTCCGCGAGTCAATGGAAAAGTTGGTTCATATCCACTTGAAGATTTAGTGTCCCCAGTGGATGATACTCTTTTGTAAATTCTAGTATCGTCTGCAAAAGGATGACATTGAACTATGTTTGCATTTTCGTCTATGTCTGATATGAGGACGAGGAAAAGGACGGAGACGAGTACTGTTCCTCGTGGAACAGAGCTTTTCACTGTAGCAACCTCTGACTTATATCTGTTTAGCATTGCTCTTTGTGCTTTCTAGGATAAAAAATTAAGATCCATTTTGTGCACTATTACACTATGATCGCACTTGCCTTCCAGTGCGTCCAAGACCATGTCATAGTGGTCCAGTAGGTGTGAGCAATATGAGCGTCCTGCTTTGAACCCATGCTACCCAGGATTGTGCAAAATTTGGGAATCCAAATGGTTGGTGATTTTGCTTCTTAGAACCCTTTCTAAGATTTTTATAATGCGGGACGTTAGAGCTATGGGTCTATTATTCTTTGCTATTGCTTTGCTGCCACCTCTGAAAAGCAGGGCAATGTCCGTTGTTTTAATAACTGTGGGAAGACCCCCGTGTCACATCTCCCTCTCCATAGCATTCACAAGGCACTCGACAGGCCTTTGTTACAGTTCTTGATGAACATGGAGCTCCACGAGTCTGGGTCTGGGGCTGAGTGCATAAGAATGTTGCCAATGGCTTTTTCAAAGTCCTTTGAAGTTAGTATTACGCCAGAAATTTTGGAGATGTTGATGATATTGTGTGCCTCTTTTACAAAACAAATTCGTTTTGTCAATGCTGAGTTCGTTTAACGGTTTACTATACACAGTCACACTGAGACTCCAATATCTCACTCACTTGTAGAAGAAAGGTTCACAGAACCGATACGTGGACATGTGTCTAATTTATCAACGTGTCGGTTCTCTAAACCTTTATTCTACATTCCTGCCTGACACAGCAGCATCTTGGGATCTTAATACAGGGAATTCTTCAACTTGCCTAACCCTTGGGTACGACCTACTTCCACATTCGTCAAATGTGATACCACCCACGACTGCTGCACCTCTCCTGCCTGCAGTATATAAGCCACTTCGCACATATGCTGTATTCTTTTCAATACTGAGGGACTAATCACATCGACTCAAGGCTGAGAGATTGATTACATCAACCTCCTCCTGTTCTTCATCATTCTCCTTTGTATGGACTGATGAAGCCACTGTGTGGCGAAACGTTTCCTCATTAAAGATACCCAAATGTTGCACATGTGTCTAATTTATCATCTCGCTCATTTCTTTGCTGGCATACATACACACACAGGCATACTTACACACACACATACACACACATACACACATTGAAGCGACCACTATTGTTGTTAGCAGAAAACTGTTTTGACCTGACGTGTTAGTTCACCCTTCCTAGCAGACTGACAGCAGCTGTGTGGGGAGGTAGAGGATGGGAGGGAGAAAGGGAGGGGAGTGAGGGAGTGAGGAAGGTAGGAGGGAGTGTGAGGGACGGGAGGAAAGAAGAGGGAGTGTGTGAATGTGGGTATGAAGGTGTGTGTAGTGAGAAGGGAAAGGGGATGTGCAAGGGGAAGGGGGGAGTGAGGGAAAGGAAGTGTGATGGGGAAACTTGGGAAGGAAAGAGGAAGGGAGAGTGAGGAAAGAGGAAGGGGAGTGAGGAAAGAACAGAGGAAAAGTGAGAAGGCAGTATGGAGCAGTGTAAAGGGTTTTGTGGAAAGAGGAGAGATAATGATACTGTGTGTGTGTGGTGTGTGTGTGTGTGTGTGTGTGTGTGTGTGTGTGTGTGTGTGTGTTGAGAGAGAGGAGAGAGAGAGAGAGAGAGGGGAGAGGGAGAGAGAAAGCAGCTGTCACATGAGCTGAGGTTAGATTAAAAAGTTTAGCTTGTAATAAAGGAAGTAATCATAACCTAACCGTGTAAAACCATTGAGTAAGTAATGTAAAAAGACTGGAAGGAGTGATGAATTCCTTGTAATTAACATCATTAAGTGCACTGACACCCTTCACCCCAAACTTGAATACTTCCAGCAGGTACTGGAGTATTCTTACACTGGATAAAACGTTCCAGCAGGTACTGGAGTATTCTTACACTGGATAAAACGTTCCAGCAGGAACTGGAGTATTCTTACACTGGATTAAAACGTTCCAGCAGGTACGGAGTATTCTTACACTGGATAAAAGTTCCAGCAGGACTGGAGTTTTCTTCACTGGGAACGTCCAGCAGGTATGGGATATTCTTCACGGAATTTAAAAACGTTCCAGGGAGGTACTGGAGTAATTCTTACACTGGATAAAAAGTTCAGCAGGTACTGGAGTATTCTTCAGGGATAAAACGTTTACCAGCAGGTTACTGGAGTTAAATTCCTTACACTGGATAAAACGTTCCAGCAGGTACTGGAGTATTCTTACACTGGATAAAACGTTCCAGCAGGTACTGGAGTATTCTTACACTGGATAAAACGTTCCAGCAGGTACTGGAGTATTCTTACACTGGATAAAACGTTCCAGCAGGTACTGGAGTATTCTTACACTGGATAAAACGTTCCAGCAGGTACTGGGTATTCTTTTCACTGGAAAAAAACGTTCCCGCAGGTACTGGAGTAAATTTTTACACTGGATTAAAACGTTCCAGAGGTACTGGAGTATTCTTACACTGGATAAAACGTTCCAACAGGTACTGGAGTATTCTTACACTGGATAAAACGTTCCAGCAGGTACTGCAATATTCTTATACTGGATAAAACGTTCCAGCAGGTACTGCAATATTCTTACACTGGATAAAACGTTCCAGCAGGTACTGGAGTATTCTTACACTGGATAAAACGTTCCAGCAGGTACTGGAGTATTCTTACACTGGATAAAACGTTCCAGCAGGTACTGGAGTATTCTTACACTGGATAAAACGTTCCAGCAGGTACTGGAGTATTCTTACACTGGATAAAACGTTCCAGCAGGTACTGGAGTATTCTTACACTGGATAAAACGTTCCAGCAGGTACTGGAGTATTCTTACAGAGTCGACCCACAAAAGTGGGCTAACATACAGGTACCATTTTTGCTTCTAGCTGAGCAAAGGCAGCAGCGGTGTGAGGAAACTTGTCCATATGTACCTTCCAGCCAGGATCTCGAACCCAGGACCTTGCTATTGTGAACTGAACGCTCACAAGGATGAGCAACGCTGCACCCCGATGAAAGAGACTTAATATGGAAGGATAGGAGTGTGATAGGGATTGAGTGTAGTAGGCAGTATGGTAGGGAGTGAGAATGGTAGGGAGTGAGTGTGGTAGAGAGAGAGTCAAGGTAGGGAGTGTAGTTGGGAGGGAGCGAACGAATAAGGGAGGGAATGAGGGTGGGGCGATGAGTAACAAGGAGTGCCAGGGAGTAGAAGTATATTCTCCCTTCTAAACTACGTTTGGTTCACTCTCCCTTTCATCATCTCAAATGATCGATATCTATTTTCTGAGAAATTTAATATTTATTTAAGCTTATTTGTATAATCAAACAACAACAATAGGATTGAAAACAAGACAATATTAGCAAAAATAGCAACACAAACACCTCCACATCAGCAACAACAGCAACGATGACAGCAGCAACGACAGTAACAATAACATTATGGACACAAAACAAAATTTCGGTAATGACAACAGCAACCTCAACAGAAGCAACAATAACAACAGGCAGAAGAGACCTCGCTACAACAGGCAGATAACAAAATACACATTAAACATGCGTAAACTTCTATAACCAGTTTCCTTCAAGGGGAACTTCGGGAAGCTTTACACGAAACACCTCAATAACTTCTTATGTAGACCGTCCAGTCAGGTGAAGGTGAGCACCTAGGTCAGTCAGGTGAAGGTGAGCACCTAGGTTATGGGACATGCACTGCTGAGTGAGGTCAGGTGAAGAATTAGGTCAGATGACTTCGGTTGCTGCGTGGGTGAGGTCAGGTGAAGCAACTGGAGTTGGGTACCTGGGTCATGTGACATGTACTCTTGCTGAGTGAGTGAGTACAGAAATAACCCTCATTTACAAGAGGCTTCATTTTCTTAAGAGGCGATATTATGCGGGAGTTATTTATGTGCTGGTCCAGCTACGGTATTGTGACTTTATATTATACTTTGCACGAGTGACGTCAGGTGTAGGTGAGGACCCGGGTCAGACGAGGGCTGGTAACAGGGGAAAAAAAGAGCGAGTGGTGTTGCAAGTGTAAAAAGAACTTCTTGGTTCTGCTCTATAGTATCGTACGCTAGTTTGAAGGCAGCTACACTTAACTCTTTTTTTTTTTTTTACTCTATCCGCATATAACACATGTTGGTCTATATCGCAGGCCATGTGTACATTCTTTTTCCTTTGTACCAAGTGCGCATTATTAATGTGTGTTCTACACAAGTACTTATGTTCTAGTTTTGTGTTAAGATCGCAGGCCATCTTCCATTTCCAGAATTTGTTGGAAGCGGCGTAAGGAGTGGCGTAAACTTCCGTGTTGCTAGATATAGAGTAGATACAGTTTAGTGATGTTCTGTTGGTGATGGATGATACCACTCCCTCACCAGGGAGGTATGGTAGTGATGTCCTGCGGGCACCGTATGATACCTCTCCCATACCAG